CCCACTCGTCGAGCCTGCACCCGACGCCTGGTTTATCAACCGACTACAAGCCAGTTGGCACCGTTATACCTTGTGCAGGCCCTTAGCCACGACACGACAGCTGGGGCTACATAACCATGCTGATGATTGTTGAACATTTTATATTTATTAAAAAAATCTAAAAAACTCTTTTGCAAATAGCCATCTCAAATATTTTAGAAAACCCGGGAAAAGGCTAATTGGTCTGCAATTGGTAATTATTTCTGGATCTCCCTTTTTATAGACCGGTTTTATTTAGCCTGTCTTAAGTTGGTCTGGGAAAACGCCATTTTCAAAATATTCGTTAATCAAAAGACACAACGCTTGACTAACATACGGGACACAAATTTTTATTATACTGGTTGGAATCTTGTCTATTCCACTACTATGTTTATTTTAATTTGTCCAGCAAAATAACAGATTTCATCTGGTGTTACATGTGTTAAAAACATGGACTCTGAATTTAGGGGTATTTTATTGGAAAACGGCCTTTTTTCTAGGGTTTCCAATAATTCAGGTACAACTTTCAAATGATCTGAAATTTGATTAGCCCCTAACTGCTAGCCCCTAAACTGTTTCTACCCAAAATCTCATTGCATATTGACCACATGCATTTGGTTTTATTATCAGAAAGCTTAATGTCATATGCCTGAGATCGTTCAGTTTTCACAAGATTATCATATTTTAGGTTTATATTGAGCATTTTGTCTAGCCAAAACTAACAAGATACCTAGTTTTCGTTTACATTCTCTAATCTCATCATTATCTTTATATGATTTTACATGACTAGCGTTTCTTATTGTTTTTTTAGGAAAGCATTGATCAAACATTGTAGATAAAAGATTTATAAAAGATATTCATTAAAATGATCTGAAATTTGATTAGCCCGTAACTGTTAGCGCCTAAACTGTTTCTCACTAAAATCTCATTGCATATTGACCACATGCATTTGGTTTTATTATCAGAAAGCTTAATGTCATATGCCTGGGATCGTTCAGTTTTTACAAGATTATCATATTTTCGGTTTATATTGAGCATTTTGTCTAGCCAAAACTAAGAAGATATCTAGTTTTCGTTTACATTCTCTAATCTTATCATTATCTTTATATGATCTTACACGACTAGCGTTTCTTATTGTTTTTTTAGGAAAGCATTGATCAAACAGTGTAGATAAAAGATTTATAAAAGAGTTCCACTCTTGATTGACATCATCCGTTTCTGTCATAATTACATCCTCCCACTTTTGTTCTTGTAGACAGTTTATAAAGATTTGCTTATATTTTTCTGAAAAGATTCTTTAAAATGAGCCGTATGTTGTTTAAAATTCTCTAAAGGTAATGTAATTTTCTGAGCAGTATGATCAGAAATGAAAGCGTCGAATACTAGAGTGTTTCCGTATTCACAATTCACTAAGATGTTGTCAGTACAGCTTGCTGTATGTGACGTTACCCTTGCGTTTTCAAAAACTGTAGGCAAAAAGTTAAATGAAGAAATTTGTGAACTTAGGTGTTCATTTTCTCTAAGCATGTCTATGTTAAAATCCCCCGCTATAATAATTTCCGGTTATATGTATGAACGGTCTATACCTTATCTGAAAGTCAGCTATCCTCTTGAGCCACATTGCAATAATTATTATGATTGGTGTGCTTCTTGAAACGGTCCAGTTGTGATAAAAGTATTGGTCCACAGACATTTCTTATAATATATGGTAAAGTAAAATTTGGATGGTTTTGTTTTTTATTATGAAATATTGGCCTCTTGCCCTTCAGGTGGTTGTTTCATGTGTTACGATGACAGTAACAGTGAAAAAACGTGGTATTCAAACATGAGAAGCATGGGCTTCATCAGAATAAATAATTTTTGTGTAATTTGAATGATGTTACTGTACATGATGCATGCCGGAGGAAATACACCGTGGAAAGCAATGTTAAAGCATCTGTCCGACGTGGAGGAGATAAAGCTTCCGAAGCTTCGACTTCAGGCAGATATCGGGATAGCACTACGATGGGGTCAAGTACTGGCAGATATTTGTTTTCTATGTGGAGAGAAAATATCTGAGAAGTTCCGGATAACAAAGGATTTATTAGCCCTACGGGATTCTGCGGGCGCTTAAAGAGAAGCCAAATATCTGCCGTATAATTTTATTTCCCATGACTTGCTGAGTAGAATAAGCATTTTAGCTGATAATCTCCTCTAAACATGGCTAAAACTCTCATTTCAAACGACAATTTTTAAAGAGGCCAATCTCGGGACCTATAAAATGTATTGAACTGCTTTTAGGCTTAGATTACGGCATCTTTTCGGATCTTTAACACAAAAACTGAAAAAGTCCTAAAGAATTCAAAGTTTTTTGAGCACTACGCAGTTAGCACAGGTTTTTAACAAACTTGGGCGCAGGCTATTGACATAGACATAACGGGTCGATTTTTTGCGAACTATGATGTTTTAAATGACTGACCTACAACTGAAACATTATTTCCAGTATTTATTTGTGGTGACTTTAGTTATAAATTTCTTTACCACAAATCTCTAAAATTCGTGGTGTCGGAGACATAGCCGCCAACCTCGCTTATTTGCCCACCCTGTGCCATAAATACACTTTTAGTTATGTTATAATACATAAATAATACACGCTTAAGAGTGACGTTAAAAAACCTCATTTAATTTTTTTTTTACAAAAAGAACATTTCAATCATCATTTTTTAATTATAATTAAAAATTAAATGAAATTAAATGAAATTAGTAATTTCTGATCAAAAACGATTCAAAAATTTTTGCACTTTAATTTTCCGTATATTTATTACATATACTCCTAAAAATCTCTTTTTTTTAAAGGTTTTCTACTCTCTACTCTAAAATATCCAATTATTATGATTAAGCGTGCGAATAGCGTCACTTTAAGACGGCAGCTTTGTTACTCGTGGTCGCCAACTATTTCGATCATGTCCAGTATTTTAGTTATGGGTTCGGGGGAGATCCGATGTTTTCGGTAGATTGTAGCCATGATACTTTGACGTTTGTCAGTTCTGACAGTGACGGCACACATCCTTCAGTAACACACACATTGATAAACTTGTCGGCGAGTATCAAACTTGTTGCTTAATATACTATGTCCCTCAATTAAATTATAAAAATTTTACCTAAATTCACTTACAACGACTTCCACTTAAATCTTTCTCAGCTGCGGATTTTTTTTTAATTTACAAAACAATATTCTTTTCAATAAATGATAAAGCGATATTTAGTAAACAACCTCTTATGTGAACAGTCCCTGTTTGAGAACTATTTAAATGCAATGTTTGAATCAAACCTATGCTAATACAATTATTAATTTACGTAAATCAACCCCACCTACACAAATGTTCAAGTGCATCGAAGTCATACATTATTAATCTAGAAAAGTATACAACTTAAAATTAAGTGATGCTTTGAGTTCGCAAGACTTTTGACAACAAAGTAAAACAAACTTTATGTTTAACAAGCTATTCGGTATGGCAAGTTAAATGCTTAAAAACTTTGTAAAATAAATTTGAGGGCGCATTTACGCAAAGTGAAAAGACTTCTAAATTTTCAGCCCTCTTTACCTTTAATGAGGTATATTGTTTAAAATGACTGGGGCTGCGTTTACCCACATTTATTTTTGATACACGTTTTGTGATATAAATGATTGAAAACTGGAATGAACACATTAAACAGACAGTAAACCCCCACAATCTTTCTAGGATGTAATTTTTTTTATGCATGGTGACCAAAGTATAAAAGATACTTAAAATTTTAAAATATGCATACGTATTCAATGCCAATTTCAAGTTTAACATTTATGGAAAACTATCAGATATAGGCATATTCTATGTTATGCAGGGTTAAGATTTATTATCGGTAGAGACTCATTAAGTTCTTGAAAATCACCATTTATTCGTTTATAGTTTGTAAATTTTATGCTAATAATCGTTTTTTCTTTTGCAAATTTGCTCTATCCACTAGAAGTGATAATTAATGTGAATTTTAAGTAATTTATTGATTATATTTTGAAATCCAAACCATTTAAAATTGGAGTCTACAATAATACAACGTTTATGAACTTTTTCAATTGTCATCGATGGTAGTTGATATTCTAAACAAATTTAAAACGCACACACAAATAAATTTCGTTATACGCTATTAATACTTATCATTTTTTATGTGTCAATAATTAATTTCTCGAATACCGCTAAATATGAGGGTGAGAAAATATGTATTATATGGAAATAATTTGAATGTTTTGATTTTCAAATTAAGAAGAAATTCAAGAAAAAATAGTCATGGTAGAAAATTTCGTTTGACATAATTTTCTAACATTTTACATTGAAAGATCAAACACCTATTTGTTCTAAACCGAGGTTTGTTTTACCTGGTTAAACTAGCAAACAGTTAATAGTAACGGGCTAACTACAAAAAGTTGTAAGTCCCTTCTTGCACAATACTGTCAGATTAATTGAAAGTCATCACTAGAACGTGAATGATTTTACAATTTCCATACTTCTCGGAGAAGTGGATTATGAAATCGACAGGATATAGTAGATTGGTAGCAATGGTATTTTTAAAAATACAACTTGTTTATTACACACAATACCCGGCGCACGAATTTGTCTTAAGTCGGTTATCATCGCAGAATGTAGTAAAACTAAAACGGAAGAATGCAACGGAATTATGAAGAACCGTTGCAAAGTAGCACTTCATTAAAAAGCAATTCCCGATCCAATATGGACACAAAGCTAATAAATTAATTCCTTTCTTTCATCTCGGACTCTTTCAACTTTCAATATGTTTAAGTAGATCTGTATACATTAATTTATTCATTCACTTTGTGCGACGCAGTGTCTAAAGCAAATTATTTTCAAATGCGCTTAATGACGCAGGTTAACCCATTGCTTATCGCTTTCTTTTGTTGTCTTCAACAAGAAATTAAACTGAAAAACATGTTTTCTGTCCTGGTGTTTTAGATCGATTTGGAAACCCTGGAATCTCCCTGTCTCGCAATCAAGTGGTCAGCAGCATGCTCAGATGTGGTATTTCCAGTCGGATATGTGGTAAGCAAGTATTTGCCTACTTGAAATGAATAATTGAAATAATACGAATATATAACCTTATTTTATTTAACTCTATAATTCGGTATGTAATGCCTCTTAAAAGTTAATTAATGTATGCCTGTTATTTTCTTATTTTTTTGGGTCTACCTTCTAGAGAGCCTTGACTTTTTCGGCGATTTTTGATAGTCTGATATGTATGATAGTGATATATAATTGAGTGAATTGAGTTTAAAAATTGCCTCCATTTACCAAAATGTTTCATAAAGTTAGTAGTGGATTTTATATTTTTCGTATTACTTTGAATAAAAAACTTGTTCCATCAGGTTTGCAGCGTTGAGAAATTACTTTTTGGGAGCCTGAAGGATTTATTGTACTTCATCTCTCTACCAAACGTTTGAAATTCATGTCAAAGCAGCGGCATTAAATTATCTCCATTTTTTATGCCATCATTTTAACAAAAACTACTTTGGAATGTATTCCGAACACGTAACACAGGTTCTTAAGCACGATCTTGCATCGTTTTTGCCGAGAAAAGTTTAACATTAAAGTTGGTGACTGACATTTTCTAATTTTTCGCTATGCACATTATTTTCAGTACTTCAGCTAAATTAAATGGCTAATTTCACGTCCATTAAATTATATAATTTTCAATGCATTGTGTTGAATTGCGCATCTCATTTTAACACAGGTTCTTAAGCACGATCTTTCATCATTTTTGCCGAGAAAAGTTTATTTAACATTAACGTTTGAGTGGATGGTGACCGCCTTTTTGTAATTTTGCACTATGCACATTTATTTTCAGTACATCAGCCGAATTAAATGGCTAATTTCACGTCCATTAAATTATATAATTTTCAATGCATTGTATTGCATTGCACCTCTTTTTTATCCAAGGAGATTGTAATTTTTGATATGTAGATAAAGTTTGCTAACGATATACCGTTTTTACAACCTTATGGTTTTTACTTCGCCTATTGTAAAGCGGAGAGACCATTCTTTTCAGCACGTGTACCACAAGCCAGAGCCGTATTTAAGATGTTAGCTGACAACTGTGCCATGCGGACTGTTGTATTTGAAGAGTAGGGAAATTTTCTTTGATTAAAGTGTTATGTTGATTCTTATTAGTGTGATTTTTATAAATCTTCCTAAAACAGTCCCTATTTGAGATAGCTTGATTTCAAGTTGAATGTTGAAATTACAATTTTAAATGTGTTTCTGTTTCTGAAATCGAATTCTGGGGAAAGTGGAGCCATAAAATTAACGTCCGAGATGACTGAAACACCGTATGCCACAGTATGCGACTTAGTTGTGAATAGTGTCCAAGAAAGGAAAACGGGGAGATATCGTGGGGTCCCAAAAAGTCTACTTGACATGCACCTTGCCGGAATAATGAGACTGTTGATATATGAAGTGTTTTAACAAGTAAAACTTTACGTGAAGCGTTGCCTACTGTTTTGAACATTGACTGTTGCTAATAATTGTTTTTTATTACAAAACCATTAATAAGAGACAAGTTTTGATGGAATCAAGAAGTATTGCGGGGTAGAGGACAAGATATTTGAGAGAAATGCAAGAAAGTCGTGCCCATCATGTATTTAGATGAGACCTGATTTGATAGCTACGATACCGTCAAGAAAGGATGGACTGATGATTGATGAGTTGGGGCAAACGAATTGTCATACTACATGCAGGCTCTGAAGCTGGTTGGTAGATATTAATTTGTTGTTTTTGCAAAATATGTCAAAGAAGCAAAAACATGACAGCAGATATCTATGAAAAATGATATTCTGAAAAACTGCTTTCCAATATTCCACCAAACAGTTTTGTCGTGATGGACAACGCCAGCTACCATTATGTACAAGCGGAAAAAATACCGAATTCGTCATCGACCAGTCTTAGGTTACGCGAAGTATACAATTCAACCATTTCGCAGTGTCGTATGACTCTAGTAGCAGCTGAAAACGTAGAGCGTACAATATCTACTCTCTCTGCTAAGTATTGCGGGCATACGACAAAGAGTTTTGAAGAACTGGACACAAATATTTTTTAAATTTTTAGATAATACGTCGATAAGGGAGCAAATTTTATATAAGTGTTGGGCTTTTTCGTTTATGTTAAGGATGGGGATTTTACGATTTCCGTACATTTCAGAGAAGTGGATTATAAAGTCCACTGCATAAAGTAGGTTGCCAGCAGTGGCATTTTCAAAAGCATAACGTGATTGGCTAGAGCTATTTTACCCCTTCGACATCTAAAACACAAAATACGACTTTACGAGTTTACTATTCAAAAATTATAAACACAATATATAATAAAAACGTGGGCTGTAGGTCTCTTGCATTTTTTCCAAGCCAACATTTTGTCGGTTCTCCCTTGAATATGATGTCATTAATGTTAAAACTATAGCTTCTTCGTCCAAGCTTTTGTTTTTATTCATTATAAAATTGTGGTAATTATATTTTGATTTTTCAATTTTATTAGGAATATTGGCAATTGTGTGTGGCAATGGTATGCAATATGGAGTGGATTGATTTACTTCAAAACTTCGTGCGCTCTTAATTTGGCTTAATTTTATAACATTATGCCACCACCTCCTATACTTAACATATTTTGATCGTGACATGTGCCAAATAAAAGGGTCCACTGTACGATCTGGAAACCCGTAGGAGATACGAAAAAAAGTTTTGTACAAAAGTTTCCTGGATTTTCTTGAAGATTTAAAATATTATAATTTTGTTTATACAGGGTGTCCCAAAAGTGTCCGCTATGACATCAACTTGGTTATTTTAAATGGAACAAACTGTATATTTCGGCATTTTGCGAATCATTCCTATTCGAATTTTGCATAGTTTATGCCGAACTTGAGGTTATGCGATTTTTTTTTAATATTTTGATTGCCCCATATAAAATTGTGTTGTGACGCTACTGATACAGGCATTGCAACGGAAATTTAACCGCAGACTAAGAAGATGATACACTACTCAATCAGTTGACAGAGGTGATGCCGTTTTGGCGAATTCAATTAACAATATCTCAAGATAATTCCCGTATAAATTCTTGTTGAATTTAAAGCTGCCCACATCAGTTTTTTTTTTAATGGAAAGACATGATACTACCTTTTCTAAAGATATAATGCTGCATTCTGTTTATATAGAAATATGAAAAATAACGAAAACAAAGAGAAATGTTAAGTTTGTTTGTTTGAATATTTTAACCAAGGATTCCAAAAATGTCGAAATATGCATGTTGTTCCATTTAAAATAACAAAGTTGACGCCGGAGGAGACACTTTTAGGACACCTTGTATCAACACAATTATAATATTTTAAATATTCAGGAGAGTCGAAGAAACTTTTGTACGAAACTTTTTTTCATCTGTCCTATGGGTTTTCAGATCGTATAGTGGATCGTTTTATTTGCCACATGGTGTACATAGGTGAAGATAAGATTGGAATAATCCGTTTTACTACTAACTACACCGTTGAATGCGAATTAACTGATTGTCATGGACCGGACATATATCGCTTGCTGTCTGCCATCGTTTTTCTACTCCGGAATACACAAAGTTTGTTTGCGGGCCCCGCATCAGAACTCCAAACTGAATTAATAGTGAAACGGGGTGGGGCATTCATATTAGGCATGCATTCAGCACTGGGATATACAACATTTCGTCAATTGGATTACAGATTACCATCCGAGGGCGGCCAGTTGCGACGTAAATTGTGGCATGAAACTTTTTTATAATTTTTGTCTATTCGATTTTAGTGTTTGCCTAAACTCAAATCACAAATCTACTGCTATTTGTCAGAAATTAGTTAATCTTCAAGACCGATACAAAAACACGTTACAGATAAATAAAACGTATTTTTGAACCTATAGTAAACCCCATCTACGATACCACTCTTCTCGGCAACTGATAGATAGGTGGAAGGTTTGCAAATTTTGCAAGAACTTTATTTATTTTTACCAGTAAGCTCTGAATGGGGCTAATGCGGGCGAAAAAAATATCGAGTTCAGCGAAAATATAAATTGAGTTTATATTTATTTGTACGGGAACGTTAAAAAATAGTCTTTCCGCGAAGTTTCAGTATTTTCGCATGAACAAAGAACAATTTGATTTTTGTTTGGTTGTTTCCAAACGACAAATATTTGATACGAATCGGAACAATATTATGTAAATTTGGGTCAAGTGAATTGTTTGCGCTTCGATTTTATACGATGGGGCAAATTTGGGGACCAGGTAAAAACATCCGAGTCGCCAAATAAAAAGTGTTTTACACGGCAGCAATTCGATAGAAGTTTCAGTGTATAGAACAACCTAGAATTCTGAATTTCTGAATTCTGAAATAGCAAATATTGTGGGTTATGAATTTAAAAAAATTGCTTTCATTTCATTGTACTTGAACTCTTACCTTTTAAATATATTTATTTGGCTAGTTTCTTTCTTGTTTATTCAAAGAAACTTAAAATTTGTCATACTAAAGAAGTTGTTTCCATTGTGGTTACAAATTTGGTGTAGGTAAATTTGCACAATATTGGAAAGCTATAATGACTACCTAGTGCTGCTGCGGGAGGCGAAATCCTTTTTTTAATTCTATTGTCTGAGATATATTTCATAAACATGTTAGATCTCTAACATTATTTCTAAATTTAAAGAAGCCTACGTGGATCTTAATTGAGGGGTTGATCATCCAAAATCCATCCAAAAAGTTCTCTTCTGCATTTTAAAACTGCATTAAATACATTTTAAATTGCGGAAAGCACAATTTTTAATTAAATAAACGAAACGAATAATTATTCTTACTTTTTAACGTAATGTCGATAAAAAAAGAACGCGCACAAAATAAAAATGTTGCATTTATCATAACGTCGGAAAAAAGTGGTTAAAACCCGTAAATAACCAATAAAGTAATATAAGAGCGAAAATTCATAAGAGGTGCAAAAATACCTTATCAAAATAATTGTGCAGTTTCATGTTCAACTTTAAATATGTTGAAAAAT